CTGGTGGGAGGAGGAAGGCCCAGTGTTAGAGTGAAATGCCCTAGAAAAATAAGGCAATTAGAACAGGGTGTACTGGATGAGTTGTGGCAGTTGAAAGCAGGGCGGTAGGGGAAGAGTTGCATGAAAATGTAACAGTTGGCAAAGACTTGAAGGAAGTAAGATGGAATATCCCTGGCTCATGTGTAACAACCCGGGACAGGAACCTGCCTGACATGTTCCAGGAATTTCAAAAAGACTGCTAAGGCTGCAATCGAGAAACTTAAGGGGAAAATATTAAAACACAAAAGGGCAGAAGAGAACTGAGAACAGAACGCATGAGGGGCATTTGGGACCCTTCATCACAAGGAGACATGAAACAGTGCTATTGAAAGTACTTGGTCCCTGCATGGCCTCAGTCATGAAGAGGCCTCTTGAGCCTCAGTTTCCTCTCCTGTAAAATGGTTTTGACTGTTTCTGCGAGACTGAGGTGGTGGGTTTGTGAAAATCCTGATAACTGGGAGACTGTCTACAGGATAAAGTAGTTAAGCTACAGGAGGTAGTTGGAGGGTTTCAGAATTGAGTTTTTGTTTATGGATATGCTTTGTGAAGCTATTGGTTTCTCAGCCTGGGTTTTGTTTCCATGGTGTTGAATTTTACTGCTCATCCAACATCAGTTGATCTGAGTTGATAGTGGTGAACGTCTGTCATGTCAAAGATGGTCACTGTGTGACTTTGGGCCAGTGACCTCATCCCCTGTGTCATTGTCTGAACAACTGCAAATTGTAGCATTTGCTGCAGTAGATTATCAGAGAGATTAAACAGCAATGCATTTGTTTGTATACAGCGATTTGTATATTGTAAACCCAAAATGTTTGACAACGTGCGTTGTCTTGGTTTTGTTTCCTGGTGGTGTGATAAAACACCCTGACCAAAGCAACTTAGAGGAGAAAGGGTTTGTTTTGCTCACAAAGCCAGGTTACATCCCATCACTGTAGAGAGGTGAAGTCAGCAGGAACTCAAAGTATCTGGTCTAATTATAGCCATGGTTAAGGGAAGGAAGCAGGGAAGTAAATTAGCGTTAATTAAACACCCATGCACACTAGTGCCCAGCTTGCACTCTCCCCTTTAATACAATCAGGGATTCCATGCCTAGGTAATAGTGCCACCCACAATGGGTAGGTCTTCCACTAACAAGATAATCCACACAGACGTGACCACAGGCCAAGCTAATCTAGGCAATTCTCATTTGACACTTCCTTCCCATGTGACTCTAGATTATGTCCAGTTGGCAATTAAAACTAACCTTGAGGGGCTGGAGAAATAGCTCAGTGTTTAAGAGCACTTGTTTTTCCAGAGGATGAGGGTTCAGTTCCCATCTCCCACATGACAGCTCACGGCTCTTTACAACTCCAGTCCCAGGGGATCTGAAATGTTCTTTGGACCTCCCTGGACACCAGGCATGTAGCACACATGTATACATGCAGATAGAACACTCATACACATAAATAGATCTTTTTAAAAAATTTAAAAAAACCATTATATTATTTCCATAATGAATAATGATATATTTTGACTAGTGATCTTGTCTGAGTTATAATAGCTCATCACAATCAGAAATCACCCATTCCTCTAACTAAAATGCTTTTCTGGTTTAAGACATTCAGACCACATCAGTTTGTCCTGGGTTTCCAGAAACTACCAAAAGAAGAGGACCAAAATCTGCTCTAGGAGCAAGGTTTTCATATTTCCCCCTCCACTATTAGAGGAAGTGATCAAAATAGGTAGAAATGCGGAGTTTCCTGTCGGCTCCTGGAAGCTCGCACCCTGGGCAGTTGGAGAAATCTCATGTAGAAGCAAAGGGCTCCTTCCATCCCTCCGGTCCCTCCATCCGGGATCTGGCAACAGTGGGGGAAGGGAGAACAGCTGGGGCGTTCACAAGGACCGCCAGTCCTTGGGATGAAGGAAAAGACTATACACGGTGTGTGTGTGTGTGTGTGTGTGTGTGTGTGTGTGTGTGTGTGTGTGTGTAAGGAATGGTGACGAAGCAAGACGATGCCTAGGCCAGGAAAGTGTGGCGTCAGACTAATCCTATCCTGCTGCTGGGAATGATGCTTCCGGCTGTCAGTCCCTGTCCACACCCTCTGCCCCTGCCCATCCTGGGCCGTTACAGGCATCGCCTGCCCTACCACATACCAGGCAGATACACAGAGCTGCCTGCATCATCAGAACTGCAGGGAGCCCAGTGTAACCTCCACTGTCTGGCAGGAATATCAGTTTATAAAATTTGCTTAACTCTTGACCTGTAAATCTCACTCTGGCAATTTGCCAAGGGAAATGGAGCAACATGTGAGGGCTTAAAAATACAAGTGTGGGATGAGGAGATGGCTCAGAGGTTTGCAGTGCTTTCCACAGGAGCCTAACGACCTGAATTTGTAGCTGCAGTTTTCCTGGTCCTGCCTGGCCCACGGTCCGGACAGATCTCTCTCACCCGCCGCGAGTCCTGCAGCTGCTCAGATCCAACTGAGTAAACACACAGAGACTTATATTGCTTACAAACTGTATGGCCGCAGCAGGTTTCTTGTTATCTAGTTCTTCTATCTTAAATTAATCCATTTCTATTAATCTATACCTTGCCACGTGGCTTGTGGCTCACCAGCATCTTCACATGTTTCTTGTCATGGCAGCGGCTGGCAGCCGTCTCCTTTCAGCCTTCCTGTTCCCACAATTCTCTTCTCTGCTTGTCCCGCCTATACTTCCTGCCTGGCTACTGGCCAATAAGCATTTTATTTATACAGAGCGATAGCTACAGCACGAATTCAATTCAGGATCCATGTAAAAGCTGAATTTTATAACCTCACATTCTTTGAGAAGTAAGAGGGGAGGCCAAGAGAAGTGCTCAGAATTCCTGGGCCAGCTAGCCTGGGGTATGCAGCCACAGTAACAAGAGAGGCTCTGCCTCAAAGGCAAGGTGGAATGTGAGGACCAACTCCTGAGAGTTGTCCTCTGACCTCCACATGCACACCAAGGCACATGCACAAACACACTCACACCCATAACCACAACTCACACACACTCAAAAGCAAAACTGTGAGATGCCTATAATATATAAAATATAAAACCACAAACACAATAATTACCCATAACTAAGAACACTGGACAATAAATAAGTACATTGGAAAAACAGAATAAATATCATGAGAGGCACACCAAATGGCAGGGTCTAGCTGCTTGGTTATGGGGAGCCAGCTCTGTCCTCTACTTATGCAAGAAAAGCAAGTTAAGACAGACATCCTTGTCTCACTTGTATAAAGTTTTCAAAAAAGATTTATTTATTTAAATGTGTATATAGGATGCTGTGTGAGTTTATGTATATTACATGCATGCAGGTGCCCACAGAGAGTGGCACTATCAGGAGGTGTGGCCTTATAGTAATAGATGTGGTCTTGTTGGAGGAAGTGTGTCACTGTTGAGGTGGGCTTTAAGGTCTCATATATGTTCAAGATACCACCTAGTGTCTCGGACCACTTCCTGTTGCCTGCACAAGATGTAGAGTTCTCAGCTACCTTTTCAGCACCCTATCTACCTGCATGCCACCATGTCCCACCATGATGATAATGGACTGAACCTCTGAACTGTAAGCCATGCTCCACAACCAAGTGTTTTCCTTTATTAGAGTTGCTGTGATTATGGTGTCTCTTCACAGCAATAGAAACCCTAACTAGGACACTTCCCTTGATACATAAGAAACAGCATGGGGCAAAAAAAAAAAAAAATACAGCCTCTGTCATTGTGGAGATGCTGGTCTGTGGGCCTGTAAGGACAAAGGCTGAAATGGAGGAAGTTAGGGAAGATATTGGGCCATTAAAGGTAGAAAGGGCAGAGATGTGGGAGGAGAGCTTGAGCTGGAGTCTTAGGGACTGGCCCTTGGAAGAGGCAACACTTAAGACTGGGAGGGTGAGGGCTGGAGAGATGGCTAAGACCTTAACAGCTCATACTGCTCTTGGAGCAGACCCCAGTTAGGTTGCTAGCAGTCCACATCAGGAAGTTCACAACCACCTGTAACTCCAGCTCCAGATGATCTGACACCCTCTTCTGACCTCCATGGGCATCTGCACTCACATGCACACACACACACACACACACACACACACACACACACACACACACACACACACTACTGGTACCCAGAGGGGCAAAAGATTCTAGAGCCTCGGAATAGGAAATAATTTGTAGTGTGGTATGTTTGAGAAACTCAAAGAACCCAGACCAGAAAGAATAGAGAGAAAAGAATCAGAGAGAGCCACACCGAGAAGGACACTGAGGAGGCTGTGTCAGAGTTTGGGCCTGACTCCAAAGCCAGGAGAGGGCACAGGAGGCTGGTAAGATGTGAAGCATAAATCTGTGGAGTGAGTGGGGCTGCTAGGACACAAGTAAACAGGACAAGAGTTGTGACTGTCATGGAGTGGAGTGATGACAGTGTCTTGTCTCAGAGTCATGGTGAAAATGGGACAAGGAAAGAAATCAGTTCCCAAGTCCCATCCCAGGTACCAGCAAACTCCCAGACCCCAAAGCAGAGTAGTTATTGGAAAATGACTTGTTGTTGTTATTGTTGTTGATATGATTTGGCTCTGGGGATTGTGGTAAATCCCACAGGGCCATCTCTAGCCTAACATACAGATGATCAGAGAGAGCATAAGGATGGAAAACCTTGGCTTCTCTCACACCCTCCTTGCAGACTCGAGAGAAAAGGGGTTTTGTTGGGGATGTAATGTGCACTGCTCAGTTTGTTACCTTCTGGCCCCAAACAATATCCCTCCTACCAAGTGCAATGAATGTGTTAGTGAGAGGGGGAAGGGAAGAGAGAGGACTCTCATAAACTCCCGATTGTCCTGCCTGGCCGTGGGCAGAAGAGCTATGGCTGGAATTAGGGGATAAGGAAGAGAGGGGTGTGGAATAAAAGGGAGACTCTGAGAGTCCACATCCAAGGAGCTGCAACTGTGAAAACTCTATTTTGTTCCCAGGACATAATCGACAGCGAGGGGAAAGGACAAGAAGTTGACAATCTGAGTTATTCTGTCCCTGGGGATCCAGAGGTGCTGGGGACCAAGAAGGAGGACCCCCAGGAGGTAGATACCACAGAGAGTAGTAACTCCATCATGAGCTTCTTCAAGACCCTCGTAAGTACTGTTCTCTGTTTTTCTTCCTTAATGTCATTGTCGCCATGTCTAATTCTAAGAATACTTGAATGTCATGGTATCAGTATTATCATCAGGGCCATGTAAATATTCTTTCTTAGGAAACTGCATTCCTATGTCTTTCAGTGACAAAGCTTTAGGGTCGGAAGCCATAATAACAGCACTGGGGGGCGGTGCATCATAACTGTGGATTTTGAGCTGTGGTGTGATGGAATCCATTAGTAACTAGTCCCAAGTGTGTTTGGGTTGTATGCCAATATCAGTCCGACTTCAACAGGTAAAATGAAAAAAAAAAAAAACACCAAGATGTGCCACAGATATTGTGCTTTGACTAGTGACATAGAATTGAGGGGACACCTAATGGCCTTCTGGGAGGTGGTTTTTTGAATGTGATCCAACTCTTGGTGGATGTGTAAGATCTAATACATTTCAGAATAAAATATTGATTTTGTAAGCTGTTTATTACCTAGAGGTGCTCATGTTAGAGACATGACCTAATAGAGTTAGGTCAAAGGCACTTTTTATTTCTCAATTTTTGGTGTGATAAACTAGAATACCCTGAAGACTTGTCTTTATGAAACACAAGTCACCCTCTAGAGCTGGTTTTTAACACTTGCATTTCTCTCACTTTTCAGGTTTCGCCTAACAAAGCTGAAACAAAAAAGGATCCAGAAGACACGGTAGGTATCCTGAAGTACATATATGTCTGGGTTTATGCAAAGAATTGGGGTCCGATTTGCATATGTGTCTTGGATGATATGCATATCACGAATATTATATGTTACATATGCAATATATGAATCTACTTAGAAATTTAATAGTGCTATTAGATTTCCTTCAAGTATTTGGTTTAGGTTATGATTGTGGTTTTGTTTGGTTGGATTCTGCAGTGCTTGGCATTAGATTCAGGGCCTCTTGCCCAGTTGGCAAGCCCTCTACCCACTTAGCCATAATCCCCTGCCCTGGTTAATGGTACTTTAATAAACATTTTAGTGGGACACTTGAAAGATGATATACTTGCTCTGGCTAAAGAATGTCACAATGCCCAGTTGCTAAATATACAATAGATACAAATTACTAATAACTACACCATTATCATCTTTTTTCATTGGGCTCAGAAAAGAAAATGAGAGAATTCAGGTTTTCTGTTTGTTTGGTTGTTTGTTGTTTTTTTTTAAGACTTTTCTCTGAAGTGAGGGGCAGAAGCTGTAGCTCTGGGGGTGTTAACGTGTTTTCCATTTTCATGTAATTTGAAAAGTAGCTCTCCACTGCAGAGGTGGGGAGGGGCACCCTTTATCTTGTCCCAGAGAACTTGTGTTTGAGCTCCAGGTCATTGATGTGGTGGCCATATGATCCTAACTTAAAGCCTCCACATCTGTAAAGCTGGCCCAGGGTTGAGGGAAGGGGCTGCAATGCCTTGCAAACTGTAGAGCCCTGTTTGAATGTCATTAATCCTATTCCACAGTCACGTAGTGGATTAATAGATTCCTCTAGACTTTTCTTCTCCCATTGAAAAACAGATTCCTGAACATTACTCGTTTGCTACAAGGCAGCTAAGGTCAAATTCAGTGAATGGTGGGGTCAAGATGTTTGCTTCTGTGTTTTCCAATTCTTGGAGCCCTATCCTCAGCACACTGGGCTGTCAACAGTGGAGGATGTGGGTGGTGTTGGGTGGCTTCCCAAGTGGCCGATTCACTCTTTCTGTTTAGCTGGCCCATGTACCAAGACCCATCCACAGTGCAAAGATGGTTCCCCACTGGGCGTACCTTGTTGATAAAGTCTCATTGTCCCATCCAGCAGGCTGAGGAGTCCCCACTGGGAACCGGTATTTTAGATGAGAGATTATGAATACAGACTGTTTGGGATGCCCAGGAAATGGCCTCTCTTGTTCTGTATTTGTCTTTGGGGCATCTTTTTCTTCTGAAGTTCCCAAAGTACTTTTGAAAAGTCTGCATCTCTGTTACACTTGACCATGAGTCATATATATATATACATATTTATTTATTTATTTCCTTATTTTTATATATTTATTTTATGCGTATGGGTGTTTTGTCGACATGTATTTAAGTGCACCACATGCATGCAGTACCCATGGAGGTCAGAAGAGGCCATCTGATCCCCTGGAAGTTATAGGAGGTCGTCAGCTCCCATGTGGGTGCTGGGAACTGAACCTGGATCCTCTAGAAGAGCAGCCAGTGCTCTAAACTGTTAAGCACTCTTCATCTCTTCAACCCTCTAGGTGACTGCTAATGCACTACATGCTTCATGAAAAACCCTCACGACATTTGTAACTTGAGTCAACAGTTTGTAGTGATTGTAGCTGAGTTATTTTGATTCTTATTTCCTCCCATTTTGGCTCAATGAATTGGTTCACACCAGAAACTTGCTTTGCCTGGGAAACCTGCTCATGTAGAAGTCACTCAAATGTTGTGGGTGATATTATTTCCATGAAGGGTCAAAGGAAATTGGTTTGAGGATGGGAGTCATTTGGTGGTAACATTCAGCCAAGAAAACAAAATCAAGACACAAAACATCTCTTGTCAACGTGTGGTTTATTGGTTTCCTTTCCCAGGTGACATCAGCATTTACATATTTAAAGCTGTTAGTCAAGACTAGCGTTATCTTTTAGGATTTGGTTATGTTTCATTTGATGTTTTAAGTCACAGTTTAAATGGCCTGTCACTGTCTTAAGCAAATAGGGATGAGGAGAGCTGTTTTGGTTGGATTGGGGATGGAGTTCTGAGATGTGTTGATTCAGGTCATTTGCATAGGTGACCCTGTTAAACGACAATGTATGCCTGAAACTGTGAATATACTGTCTAGTGAACGTTTTTGAGAAGCTTTACAAGTATTCTCATGGTGCTTTGTGGTTGGGAGATGTGAGTGACAGACCAGTAATTCATTGTCACAGTGTCTGAATATACTTTGAAAGAGAAAAGTCAAGTGGGTTTGTTCAAAAGCAAATTGCTAAGCTGTGCCTGCTGTTGTCAGAAGGCAACCAAGGCAGACAATGTCTGCGACGGACACGCTGGCCAGAAGACGTTGGAGACGCAGGCTAAGAGCAAGAAGAAACGCCTGGACAGCCCCAGGCTAGGACTCACCTTTAGAAAGTTCTTTAGGCATAAGGTCTGTATCTCCTCATACTAGGAGGAAAAAGGACCCTGCTCTTCACCTGATGCCTAGGATCCAGTGCCTAACAGCTCTGAGTCAGGGAATGCCTTGGGTGGCTGCGATCACTGAGGGGGAAATTGAAGATGCTGAGGCCTGAACTTTGGGCATTTAAGTCCCCATAGCTATAAACATCTCAGATTGGTTCCTTCCAAGTGTGGACCAGGGTTCTGAAATTCTCACCCAGTGTTTCCCAAACGTCAGTTGTTGGCATACACTTTCACCACTTTACTTAAATATACTATTAATCATTTGATATTTTTATACTAAAATTGACAATTCCTATTTAAATGTGCCTTTCAAAAACGCTTTCATATCCCATCACACATGGAAACCAGAATCACTTTTCTTAACAGAAAAATGATCATTAATGTGGGTAATTAAACGTTCTTGCTCATTTCTGTAGAGCTTAGAATCCAATTTCCTCCAGGTTTTCTTGGGAAGAAATTGGCTGGTGATGGAGACTGCTAAAGCCATCCTGGCAGTAGACCCAGCTTTTCCACAGAGCATTATTAAATGACTCAAGAGTTAGAAAAGGAAAAGTACGCTGTTTGAGCTTTGCTTCTTACCCTGAATGTAAAGTTGTGGTATGCCACCCACTCCTTGGGAAATTCTCTTCTAACCTCAAGATAACAGTATTAGCTTGCTGTCATCCGCCTCCCCTGTTCCCTCTGGTGACTGAGTTTACACTGAGCCCACATAGATGCCAACAGGAGAAAACAGTGGATGAGGGCAGAGTCAATCACAATGATGGACATGAGCTCAGCTTTGGAGACAGACTCTTCGTGCACTAAGGAAGGCACCACGCACATCTGAAACCACCAATTCCAAGGACTTCGGAGTTGGGCCCGATGCTTGGAGGGTCTTTTTGAACTAGTAACCGTTGTCCACCAAATTTAGTGGGCCTGTTTTAAACACAAAAATGTTCCCAGCTCCATTTTCTAGTCCTAGGATTGTATAGGCAAATGACAGTTTCCATAGCACACTCACATAGCAGAATCTGCATTTGCACATGCAAACGTGAGGTCACCTTCAATTTCCAAGAAGGCTTATTTTGTTCTGTAAAGAGAGAACTACAGCCATTGAAGGAAGAAGGAAAGGAACACTGCAAAGCGGTCTTGCGGTCTGGAAAGGCTCAGTGGTAAGAGCACTTGCAGCTCTCTCAGAGGATCTGAGTTCATTTCCCAGCATTCACATGGGGTAGCTCACAGGTGCTCGTAGCTCCAGCTCCAGGGGATCCAACACTGTCTTCTGGTCTTTGCGGGCACTGCACTCACATGTGCACGTACACTTGCACACACACACATACATTTTTTAAATAATTTTTTTTTGAAAAGTGGTATAGGCAGGTGGATATAGTGCATGCCTATAATCCCAGAACCTAGGGAAAAAAGGCAGGAGGATCACCCTAAGTTTGAAAACAGCCTGGGTTATTTATCAAGTTCCTAGGAAACTGAGGCAGAAGGATCACCCTAAGTTTGAAAACAGCCTGGGCTGTTTATCAAGTTCCAGGATAGGCAAGGGTATACAATAAGAACTTGTCTCAAAAAAGACCAATAAATATATGCATAGTAAGTGTATGGCCACTTGGGTACGTGGGACACAGTTTAGTAACAGCTAATGAGACATATCATAGACCTTTACACAGAAGAATCGGGTTTAACTCCCACTTTGGGAACTATGTGAGGAGGGGGTGTCTGTAAAATGTGTGACTCCCTCCACACCACATCTGCCCTTAATTATGATATCCATTTTATGTGTCACAAAATTTCACATCTGTAGTATCTCATCCCACCATGAATGGCCACCCAAAGTCCATGACATTTCTAGGGCTTTCTAATATCTGTGGCTCTTATCCTAGAAGTGAGACGCTTTGGGAGAAGGATGGGATCTGAACTCTTAAATTATTACAGGAAGTGCCCTCTTCTGGACTTCTGTAACCCAGACACAGGAGCTTCAGGGTTGTGCCTTGATTGACATCAGTGTGTTTTCCATGCAAATGTCAATTAAAATAAGAGGACAATCCCAAATGTTCCCAATTCTCATTTATACAGTTTGCTACATATAGGTCATCAGCTTTTACCTCTGTGTTGAAAACTTTCTTTCTTTCTTAGTTAGGTTTCTATTGCTGTGAAGAGACACCATGACCATCAAAACTCTTACAAAGGAAAAACATGGAGGGGAGCATAGCAGCATGCAGGCAGACGTGGCGCTGGCTACATCTTGATCAGGAAACAACAGGAAGTGGACTGAGACACTGGGTGTGGCTTGAGCATATATGAGACCTCAAGGCCCACCCCCACATTGACACACTTCCTCCAACAAGGCCACACCCACTCCAACAAAGCCACACCTCCTAATAGAACCACTCCCTGTGAGCTTATGGGAGTCAGTCACATTTAAACCACCACACTTTCTTCTCTTCTTTTGATTACTCTGTTGTCCTTAGAGGGGGGAAAAATCAAGGTCATTAAAACAATAAACCAGATCCTGTCTGTGTCTTGTGTCTCAGCTGTAGAAGACACCAATCCCCTCAGGTTCACCAAGAGGCTGTCCTCTAGGTCAGAAAGGGAAATCCTAACAGATTCAAAGTGAAGCCAAGTCTGGAAGTGCATACTTATCATCCCCAACATTTAATCCCCCCTCAGCCACATAACAAATCTGGGGCCAGTCTAGGCTGCATAACAAGTAGCCATAGCCACAGCAGGACCCTTCTTAAAAGCAAATCAATCAATCAATAAGTAGCTTTTCTTAGTTTAAAAAAAAAAATGTGGGAACTGAGAGAAGGTCCAGCAGTTAAGAATACTTGCTGCTTTTTTGTTTTGTTTTGTTTTTTTGGTTTTTTGAGACAGGGTTTCTCTGTGTAGCTTTGTGCCTTTCCTGGAACTCACTTTGTAGCTCAGCTGGCCTCAAACTCACAGAGATCCACCTGCCTCTGCCTCCCAAGTGCTGGGATTAAAGGCATGTGCCACCACTGCCCAGCTAACTTGCTGCTTTTTTAAAGGACCAGATTTTGTCTACCAGCACCCACATCAGGCAGTTTATAACTGCCTGTAACTCCAGCTCCAGGAGATCTGATGCCTTCTTTTGGCTTCTGTGTGTACCCCCCACCACACACACACACAGGGCAGGGGGCATACACACATGATTAAAAAATAAAAGAAATGTATTGTGTTGGCTAGTCTTATGTCAACTTGACACACAAACTAGAATTATCTGAGAGGTGGGAACCTCAGCTGAGAAAAATGCCTCCATAAAATTCAGCTGTGAGGCATTTTCTTAGTGATTGATGGGGGAGGACCCAGCCTATTATGAGTGTGGCCACCCCTGGGTGGGTGGTCCTGGGTTCTATAAGAAAGCAGGCTGAGCTAGTCATAGGGAGCAAGCCAGTAAGCAGCACCCCTCCGTGGCCTCTGCATCAGCTCCTGCTTCCAAGTTCTTGCCCTGCTTGAGTTTCTGTCCTGACTTCCTTTGATGAGAAACAGCAATATGGAAATATAAACCAATATGAACCCTTCTCTCCCCAACTTTTTGCTCATGATGTTTCATGGCAGCAATAGAAACCCTAACTAAGACATGTACTATTTTTTAAAAAGGAAGACTGGAATTAATAAATGCAGTAAGTTGTGGGTATGAGGCTAGGGCATCCTCCGTGCAAGGGAAATGCCCTACCCCTGAGCTCCAGCCCCGCCAAGGTTACTGTTGGAAGAAGCAGGCACATCACCTTTCCTACCCTCAACCTTTGTCTTTTGGAGTTAGGAAATAAGATGCTTCAGAATCAGACTTTGTCCCATGTCCTCCGCGACAACTTAAACATGCCCGAGGCCAGGCATTGCTTGAAAAGGTTTGGCCAGCGCCTGTCCTCTCGGTGGGAAGCTGCGGTTTTTATTAGAAGCCAGCCCATGGCACTCTTCTGCTTTCCACACACCCGTTGTTTGGTGTTCTTGTTCTGATGTCTGTACCTTGTTGAGACCTCCTGTGTCCCACATCCAGAAATAAAATCAAGGGGGTGACTTATCTATTAAGAAGATAGTCCCCAGAGCTGATAGACTCACACAGGTAGGGTCACCAGGTAGAATATAGCATATGCGGTGAAATTCAGGCTTCAGATACGCAAGAAATAATTTCATGTTTTCTTGCAATCCAATCTTTATATAGTAATTTAAAATTATTAAGAAAAGGAAGTAATTTTAGTATAAATTTAAATATATTTCATGCAATATTTGGAACATACTTATGCTAGAAAAATTATTATTTGCTGATTTGAAATTCAGACTTGCTGGGACATTCCTTTTTCTTAAGTTACATATATGTGTGCGTGTCTATGTGGGTATGTGCACACATGAGGGCAGGTGCCTGAGGAGCACAGAAAGAGGGCATCAGGTCCCCTGGAGCTGGAGTTCCAGGTGGCTTTGAGTTTCCTCATGTGGATGCTAGGAACCAAACTCAGAGCCTTTGCAAGAGTGGGATGCTCCCTAACCACTGAACCATCCTTCCTACATTGTCATCTTCAGTTGCAGTGTGGTGACCGTCGAGAGCACTGGCCTCTGTGTCAGGCTGGAATCTTGACTGTCTCCTCCAGACTCTAGAGAAAGGATGTTACATTAGCTAACGGTGGCAGGATACCTTGTGGGGCTCTCTGGGAGAAAGAAGGTGAACGGGCAGGGAAGGAAAATGCGAAGGAAACTTTGCTGGGGTCCCGTCCCAGGAATCCACTGAGTGGGTGGAAACCAGCCATGGCCGGATCTGGTCCTCCCTCTTCTCTCCCTCTTCTCCACCCCCTCTCAGTTTAGGGGTTGACAGATCACAGGCCCAGCTTCCTTGTCTGAAAATGTGAACACTGGAAAGATGACTTTCAAGACTCTGGCCATCTACAGTATCATGGTGCACACCTGTAATCCCAGGACTCTGGAAGCTGGGGCGGAGGAAGAACTGACTGTAGCCCAGTCAGAGCTACTCCCAAAGACCTTTTAAAACAAACCAACGACCAAGAACATTTCAAAATTCTAAGTATACTTTTTTTTTAATATTTTGGTCTAAATCACATTTTTATTGTCAGGTTTTTTTTTTTGTTTTTGTTTTTGTTTTTCTTTTGATCAGAAATCATCATCTGGGAATTTAAAGGAATTGTGTCATTAGGTCCAGAGAGCAAAAGTCGTAAAATGAAGATGCTTAAGAGAACGAAGTCAGGTTAGAAGAGCCTGATGTTAAAACTTGAATGTCAGTGTTCACTCATGGCTGGATGTTATTTGGGCTTCATGAGTCTTCATCCTGACTCTCGGGAAAGCAGAGCCTAGGAATGAGCAGCAGTTCACTGGAGGAGTAAAGGGTGTGTGTATGGAAGCAGGTGGCCTGGTGCATGACTGTGTTCCCAACACTTGGGCAGGGGGGGTGGGGTGATCAGAAATTCAAGGTCATCCTTGGCTGCATAGGGAGCTGAGGCCAGCCTGGGCTACATGAGGCCCTTTATGGGTGGGGAAAGAGAAGAAAAAAAGTAGAGAGGAAAGAAAAGAGAAAAGAAAGGACTGTGGGGGGAGAGAGGGAGTAAGAAACATCAGATACCTTGGAACTGGACTTCAGCACAGCCTGTAGGCGGGAGTGAGAAGGGGTAGGACGGAGGAACAGGAAGGAAGAGAAGGGAGGAGCAGGAACCTTCTGAAGAGCTTGTGTGTGGAGTGTGGAGGCTCATCTAAAGTGTAGGAGTGGGTTCTGTGGACCTCCATCAGCTGACAGCTTCCTCTCTGCCTTCTCCGTGGCCTGGATCTCCAAAGTGGGATATGGGAGAAAAATTTCAGAATTCTTATGACCATCAAATTTATCTCCACCTTTCCTTAATTTCCAATTTGGCTTGGTAAAGTAATAGTGTTTATAAAATAAACACAAACCATCATGCATGATTGTGTGCATATTCAGAATATTTCCCATGGGTGGGAGCCCGGTCAAAACTATTTGGAGACAAAGGGCCTTGGTTAAAAAAAAAAAAAAGAAAAAAAACCCTTTCTTTCCTTCCTTTCTTCCTTTTTACATTGATTGATTGATTGAGTGTGTGTGTGTGTGTGTGTGTGTGTGTGTGTGTGTGTGTGTGTACACATGTGCACAGTACATACATATGTATAGAAACATGCAAGCCACAACACACGTTTGCAGATCAGAGAACAACTTGCAGGAGTCAGTTCTCTCTTCCACTATGTGGATTCAAGGGATTGAACTCAGGTCATCAGGCTTGGAGGCAAGTTCCTTTACCCACTGAGCCAAGAGCCCGCCCAGAACTCCACTTTCTAATAATATACCACCTCTCCCCAAAACCTACCCCCACTAAATTACTTACACAATCATCATTACTAACAAATCTTCCCCTTTTTTCTTTCCCAAAAGGGAAATATCTGGAATATATTTTCTTTAACACAAAGCTATATTCACAGTGGAAATTTGCATAAAACAGAAAATTAGAAAGAAAAAAAGACTAACACCATGCATGACCCCAGCCTGTGCTTATTTTAACAGAGAATCTTTTACTTTTGAAACTGTGAGATTATTTTGAGTTTTTCACTTTCCTTTTACAAATAAAACTTTTTAGGAGACTGAAAACTCACCCAGTACTTCAGCCAACCTCAAGTCAGATAAAGCCAACTTCACGCCCCAAGAGCCTCAAGGGGCGACCAAGAGTTCGAAAGGCTGCAGCCCACCAAGTCATGCGCCTCCTGCAGCAGCCAACGACCCAAGGGAAGGCAGCAAGGAGAAGTCAGGGCCCACCGCACTGCCTCTGGGAAAGCTGTTTTGGAAGAAGGTGAGTCTGGTCGCGAGGAGTTCGCAGGGTCCGGGGCGATGGCCTGGACGTTGATGATTCTCAGACGTTATTGTCCTCCTCTGTGATTTAGCTTGCCATTGTCATGCTATTCACAGGTGCTCTGTAGGGGAGAAAAGGCTGTGAACAAGTAACATTTGTCATTCTTTGAATGACTAGGGTTAGTGACCAAGGGCTGTGGTGTGTCATGACTATATTGTCCCTCTGCAATGGTCGATAGCCCGGGCTTCCTCAGCACACACTCTTCCAGGGCAGAGGACCCCCTCTTTGTCTTTACCTCTCCCTGTCCAGATGCAGCCCTGGTGAGCCGATTCTTAATCCCCATTTTAGAAAATAACGATGTCCACCAGACCACCAGCAGGGGGGCGTGATCTGTAGTACAGCCGAGTAGGCAGAGGTGCCGCTCGCACAGAAATGGTGGCCGGGCTGTGGTGGTCCGAGAGCGGGGCTTTACCCATCGGTGCAGAGCAAACCCCACCGTAACGAGTGTTCAGAACTCCGACCCGGTTTAAAGTTCTCTAAAAGATGAATGAGAAACTGGGGTGGATTCATACAGCTGGAAGCACCTGAGTCAGTGGTGTCCTCAAAACCCCTGCGCTCGGCACACTGCACAAAACAGCGGCAAATGCCCATCGGTTTCACTCTCTTGGCGAGAATCCAGCTGGACCTCTGAGCCACTTTCTGGTTTATTTCTTGTTGTACAGAAAGTTTTTCTTGTAGATTTTTCCCAGGACACTGATTCCTCTCATTCATGAACACATTGGAACATGTCAACTACTATTTTAATTCTATTTCTGCCTACATACTAATTTAGAAGTATTTTGCCAGCAGTATAACATAGGAAACAATTTCCAAATGATTTATGTGCACATAGTGGTGGCACAGGAGAGGACTTCAGTGACCCATATTTGAATATTCACATTTAAAGAATGATTGTATACTCATATATGTATGAGACTTACATGTATTATGTATGTATTGATCATCTATATAGTTATATACCATATGTACAAGTACATATGATAGTTATACATATATTCAGCCAGGCTTGGTAATACATGCCTTTAATCCCACCATTCATGAGGCAGAGGCAGGAGGATCTCTGTAATTTCAAGGCCAGAGTGGTCTATATAGTAAGTTCCAGGACAGCCAGGACTAAACAGAGAAAACTGGTCTAAAAAAAACAAAAAAACAAACAAACAAACAAAAAAAACCAGAATTGTACGTATCTTCAAAGCATATTAACATATTATACTTTAGATCAGCATAGACTTTTGCAAGCTGGAGAGTGATTCAGAGCAAGTAGCACTCTTGTGGAGACCCCGGGTTCAGTTCCAGTGCCCATACTGGGGGGCTCACAACTGCCTGCAGCTCCAGCCCCAGGGGACCTGATGTCTCTGGTTTCTGTGGACACACGCGCGCGCGCGCACACACACACACACACACACACACACATACACACAAACCTTTTTTGCAAGCAGATTTATTGCTCAAGTTGAGGCCAAGTGCATTGAGTTCAGAAAGGAATCCAGTGAAAAGAGATCATGTTACGTCAAAAGTGTCCTGGTGTGATGGCAAATTTGGATTCTCCAAGAAGCACACACCAAACAGAAGTATGAGTGATTTATAGGGGAAATTCCTGTGAATGGCGAAGGAGTAGAGGCTGGAAGTCAGTGCTGAGGCCACAGTGGGAGGCTGTTGTTGGGTGTGTGGGAGAGAGGGGGGGGCGGGGAGCATGGCTGGCGGCTGGTGCTGGCAGAAGCCGAGGGAATGCCACAGCATAGCTTGTTCATGGTCAGAGTCCCACACTGGACAGGAAAACATGACCCAGGGCCCCTCCATGCTCTGTCAGTGACAGAGTCGTCAGGGAAAGGACAGTAGAGTGCTGAGGGTGTGACAGGTGGAGTCTGTCCCCACAGGAAGTCTGACACACCTCCAAGCCATCTCACGCTGAGCCATCTGGACGGTTTGTCTCACTGACAGATTTTCCCATCTTCATGTGGGGACTAGGTAATGAAGCCCCGATAAAGGCTAGATGCTCCCAGAAAACTAGAGATGAGATGAAATGTTCAGGATCTGTGGAAAAGTCTAACATCTGTGATGTCATGTGACATTTGTGAGCTCAGACCAGCTATCACATGATCAAAATGGGCCATGTCCTATCTTACAGAAAAAAATCTCTTCTAAGAGCTGGACACATTCTTTTAAACAAGAGAGCCCTTGTAGGTGGAGCTGACATGGATAAATTATGTGCTGTGAAGCTCTTTATATGGTTTTTTATGTCTTTATTAGATCTCTAAGCATTCCGAGCAATGTGTTTGATCATATTCACCCCTCCCCTGACTCCTCCCAGATTCACCCCCTTCCCTACCCATTGAGCTCTATGTCCTCCCTTTTTTTTAACTTCTTCACCCATCAAGTCCCATTTGTGTGACCCATTTATTCTTGCATGTGTGGCCTCCCACTGGAGTGTGGCCAACTAACCAGGGGCTACTCTTGTAAAGAAAACTGAGCTTGCTCTCCCAGCAGCTGTCAGTTGCCTATAGTACCATGGCTAGGGGGTGGGACTTCCTCTCCACCTCTCCTGTCCATGCTGGAATTCGGCCTGGCTTGTAGCTCCTTGCTCTTGGCAACACATCTTCAATGGGATCCTGCCAATTTTTTAAATTGGAGTGTTCAGTGTTGTTAAGAGGGCCAGACTATTCTTTAGATTAACCAATTAAGAGCTAAGTGCTACTAGAGGAGACTGGGGTGATTCTGTTTCTGGGGTTTGAATGATTCTCTCATACCAGACATTCCCTGGTTATCAAAAAGAGATTGAGAAATGGAAAAACACTCACATGTTATTAAAATTATTAATAAAAAGTAATTTTAGTATAGGTTAAGTATGTTTCATTCAATATTTGGGACATATTTATGCTAGTAAAATTATTATTTGTTGATCTGAGATTCAAATTTAATGGGGCATTAAATCACTAGGCTGCTCCCTTTCAGGGAACCTCTGGGTTTGGCCTCAGTCCTGTTTACTCCATTTTCAGTCTGAACAGCTAGAGCCTCTCCTTCAAAGCACTGCACGCTCTTCAGTTGTTCCCAGAGATCCTCTTTCTCAGCCACCCTGTCCAGGTTTCCTTCTTGCCTCTGCGGTGCCCTCGCAGAACACATCCCCAGGCTGGGCAATCAAGCCCTCTCTGCCCTTCTTCATGTGTTATCCGACACACCTGCTCCTTGGCTGTGGAAGGCACCGAACTGCGGTCTGGTCCTCCCAGTCTCTCAGCCACAGACTTCTCTGAAGGACAGAGAAGAGGAGCAAGGGGCTGCCAAAGGCTCTTCTTTGCCCTTGTGTACTGAGCTGGGAAACCAGGCCAGGGGCAACATCAGATGGAACACAAGATCTAGACTGGGTTCATCACGGGCAATGTCATGCTTTCAGAGAAGAGTGGAGACATGCCCTCACCCCTCCATAGAAAGACAGGCTTCTGCATAGCAGCAAAGCTCACCCAAGGGTGAAGCCAGTGCTTAGAAGTGACAGATGACTTAGGACAAGGGGAAGCGCTTAACAGCCCGACTGGCAGCCCCAGGGTGTGGGTTGTTAGCACAATTTTGATCTCCATCAGCAGCGGTTCTGTTTATTTTGAGCTCTGTGGCTGCATCTGATGTATTTGAATACAGCAGAAGAATGCAAACCATCCCACATGGCTGCTCCTTTCGGGGAAGCCTCTGGAATCTGTTCTCAGCCTTGCTATTTTATTTGTTTATCAGTAAAAGGAGTAAATGACGTAAAAGCACTCATCAAGCTCACCAGCTGGGTGAGTTCATTAACACAGTCTGAACAACAGACAGTAAAACCCTCAAGAAACTGGCACAAAAAGCTGAGGTTGATATGACCCAGAACTCTGTTTTACAAAAGTCAGTGTGCCCCTTGACTACAGAGAGGGAGCCATTAAGATTTTAACTGAGCCCCACGGCACACCCTGCCTGCCCAGTCCAACCTTGGAGCCGATGTCATTGAAGCAGTGTTTACAATGTCTCTTTGTTGCCGGAGATTTTCGGGTCAGAGCCTGGGTCTTGGTAACTCTTAAAAACTAGGCTCATCCACTCATCCTCAATCTGCCAGTAGTGAGAAGGGGGGTGAGTATTTCATGTGGCCACATTGGGAAGAAGAATAAATAAAGAGGTCCACTGACCTCCAGCTCTATCTTTGGGTCCCTGATGTGAGGTTTATGGTTAAATAGAGAGCAAAATGTATGCACAGCTAAGCTGTCTTGGTCAAGATGTGGTCCTGTCCATTACTGACTCCTGGCTGTATTAAATGCTTTATGTATGTGAACAAACTGCATATATACATATATGACGTATATAAAGGAGTCTATGTCCCGCCCCCACTTGACCTGTCTGTGTGGCTCTAGGAAGCTAAGATAGGTGATTATAAATTATTCTGGGCTTCCATATATATCTAGGATCAACCCGAACCATAGAACTCTCACCAGAGTCATTGAGAGTCACCAGGCCATTCACTCTACCTGTCCCAACTCTTGGACTCCAGCATAGTTCATCTGCCACTTGCAATGTCACAGGGAGAAAGCTGCCTACCTGGATTGGCTCTCTGGGGGCAGAATCCAAGGTCAATTCTTGGGTTCCTGGGGGCATCATTTAATATGGTTTCTCCTCAGCACCCACAAAGTCTCTTCTCTCCATAGAACACAAGCAATTTAAGGGCAGCTGAGCTGGTCGAACTTGATCTACCAGCCACCAGCAGTCACTCCTCCAGACTGACTGCAGAGGCAGCAGACTCCTGGAGTTCTTACTTCCTCCTGTGAATACTCTTTCTGCTTTTTTATTTCCCTTGACCACTGTCTTTCTGCTCTGCTTCCTACACACCAGCTTCTCCAGGAGTCTATGGACAACTGTGCCTAACTACAGACACTGTTCTTGTTTCTTCCACCTTTTACCTGCTCACCTTCCAGAGGAGGCATGTTATGTAAGCAGAGTTGCACAACAGAACACTACCCCTGAGCCTGCCCCTGCAGTCACAGAGTCCAGGACTCGGGTGCTGAGCTGATGTTCTCTTACACCAGGTGTGAAAGTGTGGCTGGAACTGGCCTCTTGGCTCTTCTGAATCTTTATGCTGACTCGGTGTTTCAGTCGCTGCTAGTTGGGAGGCTGCACCTGCAGACAAGTTTGTAAACATCTACAAAGTTCAGAAAGATCTGATGGTTCTTTCGTACAGTCCTAGAAACACTTAACATTACACGGTGCACAGCCATTTCCCTTTTCTGTTCTAATCTAAGCCTTCGGGTGACGTTAAGAGAAGATCTCTTCTTGGTAATAGGAATTATTCGTTACTGTGCCATCACTTTAGTATACAAAACAAAACAAACAAAAAGAGAAACCATACATACAGGGGATTGAACCTAGGCAAGCAAGTACTCTACCACTGAACTATATCCCCTCCACCCCATATCCACCCCACACGCACCCTTTTTTTTTTTTTTTTTTTTTTTAGTTTGAGACAGAGTCTCAACTAAGTCACTGTTGACATGAAAAGTACAGCTCTCACCTCAAAGGGAGAAAGAGTTTACTCTGAAGTTAACTATTGGTGACCATGACCCAGGAACACAGATCTGGGTTATCTGCAACGCCGAGTCCCAACAGTCACAGTTTCATGAAGTTTTTATCTTAACAGAACAAAGCCATAAATCAGCAAGGTTTTGAAATACATCAGTGGAAACATCAGCTTCCAGCAGAGCTGAGTGTGGGCCCCAGATGCTGTCTTGTGACGTTCTTGGCTTTGAGGTTGATGGAAGACGGGAGTCAGTTTGCATAGACCACAACAGCCAGCTAGATATTAGCAGACAGTACATTTAGAACTTAAGAGCGTTGTTCCCTTTGTCTGCTTTTATTTGTGGTTCTGTTGACACAGCAAAGGCTTTGATAGCAAACAGTCTGATCTAAGCAAAACTATGGTCAATGTAGAGGAAAAATAGAAAGTAGACTCAAGTAGTGCAGAACAGTCTTGAAGATGCTATAAAAATTGCTCAGGTGTGAGGGACGCTCATGAGCTCTCAAAATAAGGACTGTTCAGGCTAATCAGATGATTCAGTGAGTGCTTACTGCCAAGCCTGATGACCTGAGTTTGGTCCCTGGGACCCGCATGATGGATGGAGAGAACTTCTACAAGTTGGTCTCTGACCTCCATATACATGCTGTACCACAAAGAGAGACACACACACAAATAAACCACTTTAAAAAGTATGCGTATAGGAGGGGGAGGGGAATGTCTGGATAGTATGACTTTCAAAGTGTAACATAGCAATCTCAGACTGGTCATGAACCCACCAGGTAGATAATCTTACCTTTCTGGTCCACCTCCCAAGTGCTAGGATTTTTAGAGGCATGTGCCACCATGCCGGGTTCATGTGATGCTGGGGATGGAACTCGGGTTTGTACATGCTAACCAAGCATGCTATCACCTGAGCTACACTCCAAACCCCCCAACAGGCAGAAGGATCTGGAAATCTAAAGCCACAGTGAAGATCAAGGGAACATGGGTGTTCAGAATGAACTCCTCCTGCCCCTCTCAGTCACCTACACCAAGCTGACAGTGTCTTCTAGAACACAGTGAGCAACTGACAAGATAGGAACCTTACAGACAGGAACATCCAGATAGGACTGGCCTCACGACAGAGAGCTGGGATGGGAAAGAGGCTTGAAACCTTGAGAGCTCTGTTTTTAAGTAGTGTGTGGGGGTAATGTTTCCTCAACCTAATGTAAACAGTACTTTGACTCCAGAAGCTATTGTAGGTTGGACTTGAGGAGGTCAGGTATCCCTTGAGTCTTTAATTCTATTTAATATTACCTGTGTGTAATATTAAATAACTTCCCACTGGCCTAGAGAGAGAAGTTGACTCTGTCTTAGTTACTTTTCTATTGCTGTGATAAAACACTGTGATCAAGAGCAATTTCGGGAGGAAAGAGTTTATTTCAGCTTACAACTCTCAGGTTACACTCCATCATCGATGGAAGTCAGGGCAAGAACTCAAAAAGGGCAGGATCCTGGAAGCAGGAGCTGATGCAGAGGCAATGGAGGGGTGCTGCTTACTGCCTTGCTCCCCATGGCTTGCTCAGCCTGCTTTCTTATACAACCCAGAAACTCCTGCCCAGGGGTGGCAACACCCACAGAGAGCTGGGCCCTCCCACAATAATCACTAATCAAGACAATACCCCACAGATTTGCCTAGAAGCCAAGGTTATGGAGACGTTTGCTCAGTTAAAATCTTCTCCTTCCAGATATGTCTAGGTTTCTGTCAAGGTGACCAACTCCAGCCAACGCACACTCCAAGACAGCAGCATCCCTTGTAAATGGTTTTGACTGTGGCATCATTTCCGCATCAACAGAAACTTTCAGAAATGTTGGGGTTCCTGTGTGCCCAGGATGTCCTCGATATGGAAATAAGATGGGCAGAAACAAGCAGTCTAAGCCAATGATCTTAGCTAGGAAGCTTGCAAGTTCACAGTCACCAGATGGGGACTTGACTTTCAGAACAATATCCTCCACTCTATTTCACCTGAGCAAGTGACTTGGCCTCTCTGTGTCGTTTCTTACACTGTAAATGATGGTCATGTACTTGTTGCTTGAGACACATTAAGGGAGATAAGGCATGGCAGGCACCTGAGAGATTCGTGTGTAAATATCCCTTCTCTTCTTCCCCTCCCTGTTACTAAGCAGGACTAAAATGGGTATAGGGAAATGGTTTTAACCTGGAATCGAAGAAAAAGACACAGAAGGTCTGTGAGTATCCTGGTATCATCTGCAAAGTATTTTGTTTCTGGGAAATTCTCAAGGCAGTCTGTATCTACAAAAGCCCCACACACCAAGGTTTAAGAACCACTGAAGGAAAGCTACCAAGATGACTTCCAGAGTCATAGCCAACTGACAGAGTGTAGCATTGACCTTTGGAAGAATCAGGATGCCCCCTCTCCTGTTTGGGGCAGGACTCTAGATGCCATGTGACTCCAGGGGGATAATAGTGTCTGAATTAGGGTGTGTGAAACCCTAGGCCCTGGCCTTCCATGGACTAGTCCACTCAGGTTGAACTTGAGCAGGACAGAGTTGCCCAAGACCAAGGGCTAGTGTAGGGAGCTGCCCCCAGTGCTGACCAAGGGCTATAATCAGATAAGGCTGGGGACCCTCTTATAAGGTGGGGGTACCTGCTTGCTTCAAGACCCAGAGCACATTTCTCTGTTTCTCTTATAGAATTTCAACAAGTTATCTGTTTTTGCCTAACAGTAGCTGTGTGTTAAAGGACTATATTTCCCTCTTGGGCTAGGAATGTAGTTCATTTGGTAGAATGTTTGCCCAGCATGCAGGAAGCCCTGGATTTGCTCCCCAATACCATATAAGTGAGGATAGTAGTGCACGTGGTAGTGCATACTTGGAATCACAGTCCTGGGAAAGTGGAGGCAGGAGAATCAGAAATTCAAAGTCATCTTTGACTATAGAGTAAATTCAAAGCTAGCATGAAATGCATGACATTCAGCAATAATAATAATAACTATTGTTATATATTATTTAGTTATTATTATTGTTCTGTTTTTATTTGCTACTAGAAAATATGAAGCAAATATGTTCTTTCTCACAGCCATAACTCTGCAGCTAGCATTTTCTGTGACAATCATTCCTGTTCCAAGCATACCCTACCTGTGACACTGTGTTTATTCTTTGTTTGTTGCATCTTGAAATACACGACTTGTATCATCTTGCTATACCATTTGCCTTTGTGGAAGCCTCCTTCAAATTCTTGCTCAAACAAGGTCTACATTAACAGTCCAGTATGTAAGAACTACCCTGTTGGACTGGTAGACCAGATGACCCTTTGCTCTTGGGTGACTTACTTTGGTAACATCTTGACTCTTGCTTTTGTTTTTATCTTCCTCTAGTCAGTTAAAGAGGATTCACTTTCCACAGGTGCAGAGGAGAATGTAAGTGACTCCGTGCCATCTCAAATCATCTTAAATCACTGTCATCTTTGGTGTGTCGGGCCATTGGGTGTTCAGCTCGGGGATCCCTTGTTTTGCATGTCCTGTGTTTTGCATCCACTGTAGACTCTTTCATCCCTTCCCATGATCAGGGGCCAAGGTGCGGGGGACAACATTGGACCAATTCTTTATCATTCCCATTGAATCATGCAAAAGTAGATCCAAAATCAGAGTGTCCCTTTTCTAGCTTGTCATCCTTCAGGGGCTGAACGAGTCTACTGCACATAGTAATGGCTTTGCACATCCTTAAGGGATGGGGTTGCATCTTCTGCTTCATTCTGCCTGGACTGCTCCTTCACCTTCGTTTCCATGGTTATTCAGATTCTCACTAATTTTGGGTGGTACTCAGACCCAGCCATTTGTATCAGGCATGAGGATGTCTTACAGCAATAATCCAGACTGTTGTCTCCACTAGAGAGCTGACCCCAGGGGTCTGATAGACTGATGGCCAGATATTTCTGGCCTTTAATCTTCTAGAGGTAGTCAAAAATTTTAAAACAGTTCACTCATGTCCAAAGGAATGGTGTTGTATGAGATCTCTCTCTCTGTCTCTCTCTCATACACACACACACACACACACACACACACACACACACACACACACACACACATATGCATGCACGCACACACACAATGTGTCTTTTGAAAATCTCATCCTGAGAGATTACTAAATGGGGCCTTGGCAGCTCCAGGCCGAAGACAGCAGCTCTCAATGCTGAAAGCGGTGCAGACTGGACATTTTTATGATTGGGGTAAGTGAATGTACAGCTTCTGAAGACAACAAAAGGACGTGATCACTTTGCCAAGGGAAAATGTACTTGCCTCCTCTGGAATCTCTTGTTCACTTACCGTGAACAGTGTATATGTTTTCACGTTTATTTAGTTACTGGAACCAAATGGATGTTGGAAATCCAAACATTTTCCCTAAAATGTTAGTAATGATAGGGGTGAACACTGGAATGGCTGTGTATGATTCCTTTTATATATATTCTATACTCATCAGCATCTATTCACTTCCCATGGTATTGAATCGCATAAGGACATTTTCATACAACTATATGGTGTACTTTGAGTGCTACTCCATGTTCCTGACCCTCCTCTTCTCCCCATCCCATGTCCAGTGAGTTCCCATTGTTCCTCTAGAAGTGTTATTATTCTTATTAAGAGAAAAGTCTCGACAATCTGTTGGTCCTGTTTCTTCATACATTCTTTTGTCCATCATTCACTCTTTCTTTCATTCTATCCTTTCCTCTTTTATTTCTTGAGTCAAAGTTAATAGCTCAGCAAAGCTCAGGCCTCCTCTCTTGATTCTAGAAAGTTCTTGTGAACTTTCCTGGTATTTTCTAAGAAGCCGGAATCTTCTCTCCTGTCAACCTGAGAAGCACAAGTCTGCTCGGAGACTGAGTTCTCTGAAGAGAAACATTTGGGGGAAATCGGTGTTTCCATTTATCCTAGGATCCCTATATTCCCCAGCTCAAGTATCAAAAGCTGGAGTTGACCTGAAACAACCAAGCACATTTCACTTTGTACCATATGCTTAAAACAGGAATATGGCTGAATTAATAGATATATTCCTAGTATCAAATAGTAACACAGAAGGAAAGCAAGACATTTTTCATGAAATGAAGAAACATTTTATACATTGCTTTTTTCCCCCCCTTGCTTAGCCCTTTACCTTGCATTTCCAATTTTAAGGCTCTACATTTACCATCTAGCTTCCCATCACTTGGAGGGAATGAAGATAAACAGCTATGACCCAGACACTGTTATCTCCAGGTCACATTTCCCCCTGAACTTCAGTTTACTTATCCCATTATATGGGGATACTGATGGAACCAGTTTGTGGCTCTGGTGAGACTGAAATGAGATGGGAATTTAGACATCAGTAAACTACAGTTCACAGACCAAATCCGGTCCACCACCTATTTTTAATGTGGCCCACAAGTTTAAAGTGGTTTTCTATATTTTTAAATGGCTGGGGGAAAAAAGAAAGAAAAATATTATCATGACATGTGGAAATTACATAAATTCGAATGTCAGTACTGGCAAAGTTTTCTTAGAACTCAGGCACATATCCCTTTACGCATTGTCTCTGGATGTTTTTCCTGGTAGACCAAGAGAGGCAACACCTCTTGCAGGGACATCTGGCTGCCCCCAGCAGCAACTGCTGGTGAGTGGCAGGTGACACAGTGAATGCCGGTCCTGCCATCAATGTCTAGTTCCCAGGGAAGTGATGCTTTCCTAGCGGCTGGACATCCAGGTGGAGTGAGGAGTGTGTAAAACAGAAGTTCATTTCTTCCCCCCGGAGAAGCAACAGCATTCATCACAGCAGTGCCCAGTCCTCTAACGCTCGCTGCAGGATGGCTAGAAGTTACTAACCTTATTCCAAGAGCCTGGTGACCAGTGACTTCTGGGGAATGCGGTTGAACTGCCTCGTTTTGTCTAGTTTCTCTCCCCATGCCTTTCCAAAAGCAGCCTGTCAGCCCATGTACAGTCCACTGTGATCCCTGAGCAAAATGTGGGGGTGACGTCAACCTCAGGTTTTCATGAAAAGAAAATAGAGCCTTGAAGACCATGAAAGTTTAGAACTTCTTCTAAAATGGGATTCTAACCCTATAAAAAGTAAAATCTGGGCCAGCAGGATGGCTCAGCAGGTAAAGGCACTTGCTGCCAAGCCTGACAGTGGGAGTTTGATCCTGGAGATCCATGTGGTGGAAGGAGAGAACCGACTCCTGAGAGTGTCTGCTGTGCACACACACACACACACACACACACACACACACACACACACACAAGTAAATAAACATTTACAAGGCTGAAAAATAGTTGGGCATAGTGGTGTTCACCTTTAATCCCAGCATTCAGGAGACCAAGGCAGGTGGATCTCTGTGAGTTCAAGACCAGCCTGGTCTACATAGAGAGTTCCAGGACAGCCAGGGCTACTTAGAGAGGCCCTGACCCAAAACAGAAAAAAAAGTTGGAAAAAAATCTGTCTTGACTATAGCAGTTATGGAATAGCTAAGGTATACCACAAAAATGTTTTGGCCTTAGTTGGTTAAATTATTATAACTAATGAAACTAATCTTCCCTTGCTAGCAATGTATAAAATCAAAGCAACAGGTACTTCCTTAGTAAGGGACCTATCAGTTTCATGTGAAGAAAACAAAAACCCACCTGGATGCAAAAGAAAAAAGCATTACTGGCTGCCGTTGCTGAAAGTGCTAGGGCGAGCCTTGCCGGGGCTCCTGAAGCATCCACCAGGTCACAGTTTGCAGCACGTCCACTCACGTTCCATCATTATGGCACACCTCCCATCAGAGCCACAGACTGTCTTTTTAGGAGTGATTTTTCCCTCTAGGCTCTTGTACACAAAGGATTGAAATGCTTCAAAGACAGAATAATTCGGAACCCAGGGTCAGGAGGTCAAAGTCTGTCCTTACCTACTCAAGAGCCATCTCCGACTCTTCTATCCGCTGTGATAACAGCTCTTTTATGACCACGAGGTAGCAAATGTAAGGATGAAATCCCACAGACCAAGGACAGCAAAGCCAAAGGCTGGAAAGGGTCTCAGTTCCTAGGGGATGGCAGAGCCTCAAACAGATGTGAGAACATCTTGCAATCAGGCCTTCGGCTTCATTTGCCAGCAGGAAACCCCATCCTCCTCAAAATGGCGGCCGCCCTCTAGTAGTACATTAGCCATGTTAGTCGATTGTTCATAATCTTCATTTGTAAAATGGGATAGCATTACCTTTGTAGCTATGTTCCAAGGTCATATATAAGAAGTACCTTGTACCACAGATGTCAAAAGAGGTAGTAACTGATATAACCATCTCTAAATGGACCTGTAAACCATTGGATGCTCCAGGTCATTGTGGTCATGGAGCAAATAGGTTTAATGGTAACACCAGTAAGAACCAGTAGCATTAGCTGAGTGTTTATGGTGCCTGACACAGGCTGAAGAACTTGACGTATGTTGCCTGATTATTCCTGCTCTGCCTTAGTCACTGTCCTATTGCTATGATAAAACACCATGACCAAGGCAACTTATAAAAGAAAGTGTTTAATTAGGGTCCAGATTATCACTTCAGTGGGTTAGTGCATGACCATCATGATGGAAAGCATGGAAGCAGGCAGGCAGGCATGGTGGTAGGGCAGTAGCCAAGAGCTCACATCTGATCCACTAGCTGGAGACACAGAGAGAGAACTAACTAGAATGGGGTGCCTCAAAGCTGTGAAACACCTCCTTCAACAAGGCCACACCTCCTAATCCTTCCCAAATAGTTCCACCAACTGGGGGCCATTCTCATTCAAACCACCACAGGATCTCTACACAGGCTGAATGTAATTGTTCTGGGGCAGACCAAAGAGAGACTTACTAGAAAGGGTAGAAGGGACTCCTTCTGTCTATGTCTTGCACCTTCATGGGGAAGGAATTTGCCAACTCCACTCCTATCTGTCTATCTGCCTGTCCATCTGTCTGTCCAGTAATCAGCAATCATCTGTCTGTGAGCTCATTAAGTACATCCTGAATATTGCCTCTTGAAGATAGCCTACATAGAAACTAGTCACAGGTTCAAACCCTCAGCTACTCTGCAGATGGGAGAACCAAGACTCCTTCATAAACATGTTCTGGGGGAATATTTAGGTAGTGGGGGTTGTTTTGTTTTGTTTTGTTTTCTTATTACCTGGCAAAACAATCCAGGCGGTGTGTGAGCCACCAGTAGAAACTGTAAGGTTTGAGGAAGTAGAGCCTGCCTTACAAACTGTGGATCTCAATGAAGAAGAGGCCCAGCCTGAACCCACAGATGTAAAAGTTAAAGAAGAAAACAAACCCCGGAGGACCCCTCTGATGGCGTTTCTTAGACAAATGGTAAGCCACCTTCTGTCTGTCCGTCTGTCCATCCGTCCGTCCGCCCATACAGAGCAGACATGCAGCTCATCTGCTGACAGGAGGGGACGCGTTCTACCCATGGTGTGAGATGCAACTGTAGTGAGGCGTGGGCCCTTTGGATGGGCTCAGTGCGTAGATTCCCTGTCGCTCTTCTCATTGGTCCTTTGGCCTGCTTCTTGCTACTGTTCTTTAACTTCTGCTAGCTCCCTTCTTAGTAAATTAAGAGGCTTTCAGTTGTCAGTGATGATGACAGTATCCACTCAGAAGTTAATTTCATTGCTGGTTTTGCATTATGTGTTTGATGTTGGTGAATGATACTGCTTTCTCATTATGATGATGAAGTGAACGTTCCTTTTATTCAAATGAATTGTTTGCATAAAGAACATAAGACTATGTAAAGATGGGGCTGGAGTGATGACTTGGTGGTTAAGAGCACATGTTGCTCTTGTGGAGGACTAGGGTTCTGTTCCCAGTGCCCATATCAAGTGGCTCACAACCATCTGTAACTCCAGTTTCAAGAGATCCAGTGCCCTCTTCTGGCCTCGTAGGGTATTGCACACATAGGGTGCACATACAAACAAGCAAGCGCACATGCATGTACACATTTTAAAAAATAATTTTTAAGAATATGTAAATAAATTAAAACAGGCCTTTAAAAAATGTATAAGGCATTTCCTGAATTAAATACTGAATAATATAACTTATAGCCAGGCATAGAGGTTTACACCTGTAATCCTAGCACTCAAGAGGCTGAAGTGGATTCCAAGTTCAAAGCCAAACTGTGCTACACTGTGCGTGAAACTCAGTCTGCAAAACAAAAAAGGCCAAAGCTATAGATTGAAATCCAGAAGTTTTGAAAATAACATATGAGATATGAATAGCCTAGGCCATTCAAATGCAATAATGGTTGCCTAATATTCTTACAGTGGATACACATATGGCTGCATAGTTTGGTTAGTGAGGTTGCCATACTCTTAATCCGTGTGGAACAGAAAGAATGTGGGCAGAGACCTTTGTGACTACGAGAAAACTAAAGTCAGCTGGGTAAGCAGCAGCAGCCCGAGAGAAAAGTCATCTGTTTAATTCTCTTTTAATGAAGAATAAGACTTTCACCCTCAAGTGCCTCTGTTTTCATATCTGGGAGTCTAATCCATTTGGAAAAAAACTCCCCAGTTTCAGAAGCCTCTTAACAAGATTGCAGACAGAATAAAAGCCAGCCAAACTCTTGCAGGCGGGAATGAGACTTGGAAGGTATCAGCAGGGGCCAAGCTTTCTTCTTGCTGGCTCCTGGTATGGAGGGTGTAGAAGTTATGGACAGGTTAAGGCTAAGCCCCACCCTCTCGTTGCCCATTTGCTCTAAAAATGGGGTCAAGATTTGAGACTTTCCAGCCAGTAAGATGGCTCAACAGGTAAGGGCACCAGCTATCAAGCCTGGTGACCTGAGTTCGATCTCCCAAACCCCCACACAGTGGAAGGAGAGAACCGGACTGTGGAAAGTTGTCCTCTGGCCTCTGTGGCGTTTGTGCGCATGTGCAGGAGAGCACCCATGAGTGTGCGCATGACACAAAACCAGTGTGATTTTAAAAAAAAAAAGAGAAAAGAAAAGATTTGAGACCTTTGGGCCAAGGAGAAGGCTCGGCAGATAAAAGCACTTCCTGATGACCTGGCTCCAGCCCCAGAACTTGTGTGAAATGCTGATGCACTGGCATGCATCTGTCATCCTAGCCTCCTATGGGGCCACGGGAAGTGGAGGCAGAATTTGTTAAGATTCACAGGCCGGCTGGCCTGGTGGCCCCAGCAGCAGCAGAGGCAAGAACTGACTCCCAAAAGTTGTTGTCCGGCCCCACATGTGTGCCATTACATGAGAGAGCCTGCTGCTGCTACACATGTGTGCGTATGTGCCCACAAGCCCACGCGCCCACACACACAGAGTAAATAAATAACAATTTTTGAAAAAAAAAAAAAACTGAGATGTTTACACTTGTTTTCATATGACACCAGTAAACATATTTGGCCCATTTCTGGTGACTGATCTAAATGATAAATGGGATTCCCAAATTCATTATGAAATGAAAGAGGGTCAGCTTTCATGTTTCTGTTTAAAGTGGGGAAACAGAAGAATCAGCAGATAGAGTTAGCGCCTCTTCCAAATCACCAGTGTGGCTAGCTTCACTGCGAAGGGGAGAAAAAGACAAGGAATTCCAAACTAAACATAGAAATGAAGCCAGAGTCCATCTCCAGCAAAGCCTTGAGCTGGGAGAGGTTCAGACCGTGTGTCTTTACCCCTCGATGCTGTCTGCCAGACACTGTTTTCTTGCAGTAAAAACAGGTCATCCGAATGGTTGGTGAAAGCTGGAGGCAGAGGAGGCCTTTGGAGCTGGCTCTCCAAAGATGGGTCACCTTCGTGACCCGTGTGTTCACTGCTCTTGTCATCTGCAAACTTGAACTCTTCTTTTTGTTTAAACCCAGTCTACAGGTTCAGTGATGGTTGTGTTCACACCACACCCCACAAAACTCCTTTGTTTTCCTTAAAGCATGCTATCGGCATTGTGATCCATTCTGATTCATAAGATGAGGTTTCCTAGCCTTAACAACATTCCCCACAACTCCCTGCCGTCACTCCAGCCAACTCCAGCCAACTCTGGTCACATCCCTGTCCCTGTGGGTATTAGAGTTCACAGCCCTGAGACAATCAAACCTCACTGTTTTCAGAGCTTCCTCTACTTATAGTGAATGGACTTGCCACCTCAGAGCAGCCGTTACTCTGTTGATGATGATGACTGAGTCCAATTTTTCTGTTTTAGTCATTTGCTGGCCAACAACGAATCACTGAGTGTACAGTGATGAGCTGGCACTGGGCAGAAAACAGTTAGCATCAGGAGTTCCATCCCCTCGGGGAATAAAACCCAGAGAAGCGGGGAAAGACCTCCATTTTTAACTCTGCTCGCACTCAGTGAGTAGGCTCCAGTATCTCCACACAGTCTCAATCCCTTCTTTTGCCTACATGAAGGATGTACATGCACTCCAAAAAAAAATTGTTTTTACATTCACTTGTTTTGTATGCTGGGGATGATGCATGGATGTGGAGTCAGAAGGCAACTTGTAGAAGTCAGTTCTCTCCTTCCATCTTGTGGGTCCTAGGACTCAAACTCAGGTTGTCAAACTAGGTGGCAGGCACCTTTACCACTGAGTTGTGCCCAGGAATTTACACTCACTTTTATGTGTGTGTAGTAAGGTCCCTGCTGGGGAGATCCCTGGAAGGTGGACCCTGTGATTACTTCTAGGAAACTTTTTTTTTTTTTTTTTGTAGTATATTCATGGCTTCTAAATTGACTTAAAATCTTTTAATTTCTACAGGGGATCAAGGCCCAGAGCCTGCCCTAAGGGATTGAAAATAGACAAGACATGTAACCTACTACTAAGGGTTAGGGCAATCTTTTAAAGCCAAATAACTGAATACTTCAAATACATTTTTAAGTAATTAGGAAATTATAATTTTATTTATAATAATTGATCTAATGGAAAACCCAACAGCAAAACCTCTTGTTTGTATCCAACTTCAGTAGCCGGAGAGCTGACTGCCCGGCCTCTGTCTCGTGTCTCTTCCTTTCTGCTGATGCGTTTCATGTCTTGTGGCAAAGGAGTTCTTTGTTGAATACTTTTTGTTTCAAAGAAATGCACTGAACTTCATTTCATTGCTCTTCTTTAACCTGTTTCTTTGGCTTCTTGAGACAAGCTTTTACTATAATGCTTGAAATTCACAATGGGGCCCAAACTGGCCTCAAACTCATGGCAATCCTCCTGTCTCAGCTTACCAAGTGCTGTGACTACAGATGTGCACCTCCATGCCCCACCTGGCCTAGTTCATTTCTTAAGAAATCATTTTCTTCCCAGAAATGAACCTCTCACAAATTGGAAGATCTTCATTTCTAGTGTAATTCTATTTCAGGTAAAAGAAAGTAGAGTAAGATAAATCCTAACATAACATTCGATACAGATAGTTGGACTAAACCACCAAAGTCCCACAGGCTCCTACAGGACTCCAAAATAATTGCAAGGTATGTCTAAGACATCAGCCCATCAGAAGGGAGAAACAGATTCTTATACATACTAATCAGCTGATGTCAAGAAAGTGACTGAAATGCTAGTATATTTTTATAGTGTGAGTAGGCAGAGGGCTGTGTTCATGTACCTAATCACCAGGTAGGCAGATTCAAACCAGAAATGTGGGAGATAGAAGTATGGAGATTTCAGATTTCTAATCTGTCAGTATAATAACAGGCTGCTTTTGGAAAGCCCACTTTTTCTTCACACTGGTTTTAACTACATTATTCCATTTACTCCTCCTTGGGAGCCTTTCTCTGGCCCACTGGTTTTATAAGAAAAATCTTGATTGGTGTGACATTCTCAGACTGAGAAAAAGACTTTGAGGTTTAATAGGGGGGCAGCTAAAGGCCCAAATGAGGAAACAGCCAAGAAACCTAGTTTTCTGTTAATCACATTCAATCTAATAGGCTAATAAAATCAAAAATTAGTATTATCAGGGGAAAGGAAGATGGTTTGAAAAGGGAATTATAAAACAAAATACAGTAGTCTTTAGGCCAGAGTTCTGGGTCTCAAATGCCCCTCTGAGTATTAAAACATTAATAATGAGGTGGTGAAGATATGGCTCAGTGGTTCAGAGTACTTAAGACATCAGGTTGGTTCCCAGCACGAACGTCAGGCAGCTCACATCCCAGGGGCTCTGAAGCCTTCTTCTGGCTTCTGCAGACACACACACACACACACACACACACACACACACACACACACACACACACACAAACACACAAACAAATAAGGAAAAATAGAATAAATATTTTAAAAAGTCAAACCAGGCCCAGCTGTAATAAACGTTCTTACTTCTTCCAAGTGATCAGCAGCAGAGCCTGGTCTGAACAATTCACCCAAACCCTGGAGCAGACTTGGAGTCCCAAGTC